GGCCCTGCCCTCAGCCCGTGCCCCAGAGCTGTTTCCTGAAGGGGCCCAGAAGATGCAACAGCTGGTGCCCCAAGTAGGCCTGAACCCCAGCCAGGGCACCCTGCTGCCCCGGTCAGGTGAGTGCTATCCCCACACCGGCTCAGGGTTACGGCAGACCCCAGACCCAGACTGGGAGGGCCAGGCCCCAAGGCTTCCCCCCAGGGATGGGGCGGCAGCTCCAGGGGCAGCCCTGGCCTATCTGGGCCAGAGGAGGGCCGGACGGTGCCCTGGCTGCGGCCCCCCAGGAGCGGATGGCTCGCAGGCTGGGGGGCTTGGTTATTCAGGGAGGGTTGGGGGCCTCCACCCCTCGGGAAGGGGGCCCCGGGTGGTTCCTCAGGCCCCACTCTCTCCCGCAGACCAGTGCAAGGTGCCTTCTCCTAGGTGAGTACTCGGGGGCAGGCGTGGACGCCACTGCCCAGACCACGCAGTGCCCCGTGCCTTGCTGGCCCCTGGAGGCCCCTCTTGGCCAGAAGGCTGTCCGGTGGGGTCCTCATCCTGGGAGCAGGGTGGGGTGATAGCACAGAATCAAGGTGGGCCGGCAGGCTGCGGCGGGGAGGAACAGAGTGGGGCCCAGGGGCTGGGCCCAGGGAGGGCAGGAAGAGGCCAGAAGACGGTGCTCACCCCACTATACCTGCCCTCTTGTTTGCAAGGAAGGATCCCGCCCAGGAGTGCCAGTGGTGGGGGGGCCCATGCTCCACGTACTGGGCCTTCCCCAAAGAGCGTGCACCACTCCTCTCTGCCACCCCTCCCCCAGCACAATAAATCATCTCCTAAAGGCCACGGCTGCGGTGCATTTCTTCCACGGGCTTCTGGGACCAGGGCGGGACCCCTTGCTCAGCCGGCCTGGCAGGTGCTTAGCCTGGGAGGAGCGGAGGCTCTGCTCCGAGGGAAGCAAGCTTATCCAGACAAACAGGGGGGTTGCAGGGCCCTCCCCACCACTCTGCCCCCCACCAGGGCACTGGACTGGGGGTGTTGCCCTTGCTCAGCAGCCCAGAGCTCCCACGGGCACAGCGGGCCTCCTGGGCCTTTGGGGTCCTCCCGAACCACAGCACAGAGCAGGGATCTGGGCCACTTCCATCCCCCCACTTCGCCCCTGATCTCTGGCCCCTAAGTACCCGCAGTTCACTCCCCAGCCAGAGCCAGAGGAAAGGGGGTGTGTGCGAAGCTCTGTTCTGCCCTGTCATTATCACCCTTCTTTAAAGACACGTCCTGCAGGGGGCGCCTGGGTGGCTCAGTCTGTGAAGCCTCTGCCCTGGGCTCAGGTCATGATCCCGGGGTCCTGGGATCGAGCCCCGCATCATGCTCCCTGCTCAGCGGGAAGCCTGCTTCCCCCCCTCCCCCGACTCCCCCTGCTTGTGTTCCCTCCCTCGCTGTGTCTCTCTGTCAAATAAATAAATAAAATCTTTAAAAAAATAAAACCACAGCCAGGTCCTGCCAGATTTGCTGCCTTGACTGGGGTCCTTCTGGGCTAGGAGGTCACAGAGATTAAGAGCCGCCCCTGAGGGCCCCAAACAGCCCCTCCACACCTGCACCCAACACCTGGCACCCAGCCTGTGCCTTTGAACCCTCTGGCCCACCTGTGGACACTTTGAGGCAGGGACCTGCCCCGGTCTCCTCCCTGCCCCCAGCTTGACACCAGTTCCCCGGTGGAACTGAAGCCCTGGGGGTCGGGACAAGTGTGTGGAAGGCCCAGAGAGCCAGCCTCCTCCCACACGTGTGACCTATGAGCTCACCCACCCACCCTTCCTCCCGACACCTGGGGTGCCGTCTGCCCACCTAGAGGGGCACCTGCTGAGAGATACTGTCTGACCTCCAGGCGATAAATCAACCGATCGATGGATTGATTAGTTATCATTTGGCTTCCATATGGACCAAGAGAAGATGGGGTGGAGGAGGCCACGGCAGCAACAGCAAGGATTTAAAGTGGAGAGGTAGGGATGCTTGCTCTCCTGGAGAGTGGTGCAGGAAGTCTCACCACCAGCTTCTCCACTCCCACCAGGCTCTGGACTCCCTGCCCTCCCCCACTGACCCTTCCCAGCGCCCCTGGGAAGGATCTGGAGTGGAGAGATGCAGACTGCCCACCATGGCCTTCTGGACACCTTTTCCTCGGAGAGAGGCTCCGTTCTGGGGTGGGGCAGCCCCACGGGGCCCCTCTGGGTCCCAGGAGGGCTGTCCCCCCAGGCGCCTGCAGATCCGCCCCGGGCTCATCATCTCGTCCTGCACCACCCCGCTCAGACCACGCGGGGGCAGCCCTCAGCCAGTTCTCTCCCCAGAAGCCCCGGAACTCTGCGTGCTGCCTCAGCCCTCCCTGCCCTGCTCCCCACCGCCCCCAGAGCGTCCCATCAGATAGGAAAGGCCAAAGTCCTTAGCTGACCAAGAAGGCCCTCCCTGACCGGCCCTCCTCTGACCCCACCACCTACCCTCTTTCCTTCAGCCCTGCTGACCAACTCGTGTCCCTTGAGCACGCTGGCCCTGCGACGGCCTCAGGGCCGAGATGCAGGCGGGCCCTGCCTGGGGGTGCTCTTATCCAGCTCTCTGCTTGGCTAGCTCGCTCTGCTCCTCTGAAAGCTTTTGCTCAAATACCACCCTGTGTGCTCCCTCCTTGGGCCTCTGGGACCCCAAGCCCTGGCTGCCCTCTGGCCTCTCTAGTGACTCCTCCGACTCGGGGGGCTTGCAATGCGTGCCCTGGGGCGAGAGGCCAGCTCTGGCTGCCCTCCCCTCCACAGTCCCCAGCCCGGTGGCTGGAGCTTTTCTTAGCCTCTTCCTTGCCCACGTTGGAGGCCCCACCTACTTGTGCCCACGCCCATGTTCATCAGACAGCTCCCTGCAGGAGGGCTGAGGTGCTGAAGACCCAGCCATCCCGTACATTGTCTAGATATTTGTGTCATCTTTTTAAAACTTCAATTTGTCGGTTTTCTTACCATGTTTTGTAACAAATCTTTGCCTCAGGTCTTGAACTAGTTCCCTGGGGCTACTGTGACAGATTATCACAAACTTGGTGGCTTTAAACATTACATTTACCTTCTCGTGGTTCTGGAGGCCAGAAGCCCAAAATCGGTTTCCCTGGGCCGGAAATCCGGGGCGGGCAGGGCCACACTCCCGCTAAAGGCTCCAGGCGGGGAGCCTTCTTGCCTGTCCTACCTCCTGGTGGCGGCCAGCAGCCCAGACTGGTGGCTGCATCACCCCAGCCTCTGGCCCCCTGGCCACACTGCCCTCTCTTCTTCTTTGTGAAACCTCCCTCTGCCTCTCTCTTATGAGGACGCCTGGGACGGCATTCGGATAACCCAGGAAAACCTTCCCATCTCAAGATCCTTACCCACAACTGCAAAAACCCCTTTTCCATACAAGCTGACATTGACAGGTCATCGTTCAGCCTGCCTCATTCTTCCTGGAAACACTGTCCTAGGCCCCAAGCGCTGGGCCTGGAGGAACTGATATTTAAAGTGGTCCTCGGGGCTGGGGACTCCACACTCACATCTCTGGACATGGTCCTCCTCTAGAGTCCGTACACAGCCACCCCCACCATCTCCATCAGAGTGCATATAGCAGAGTGGCCCATCTCCAAACCTGCCCAGCCCAGTGGTCTAGGGCAAGGGCATTTCTGCACTCCCCACCTGCAGGGGCCAGCCATGATCCCTCCCTCCCTCACCCCGGCTCTCTCCACCTGCACTCTGAGCCCCTGGCCCAGCGTCCATCAGCTCTGCCCTGAGGGACTCAGCAGCCCTCTACTATTCTCCCTGCCCCCCAGGCTCCACCCCTGCAGTGGCCTCTCCTCGTGACACTCGACATGGGCTTTGTACACATAAATTAGTTGTACCACACCCCACCCCACCCCTGCTTACACCCTCCTGCAGCTCCCCGCTCTGCATTCCTTCATCCACAATATTTATTGAATATCTCTGTGCTAGGCAGTGTTTGAGCATTGAAGATGCAGTGGCAAGTAAAACAGACATAAAGGCCTGCCCTATGGACCTCTGGGGGAAATGGGCAATAAACAGGATAAATAAATGTATTAGTCGCCTACTGCTGAATAACAAATTACCCCCAAACTTAGTGGCTTAAAACAACGAGCTTGTATCATCCCCCCAGTTTCTGAGGGTCAGGAACCTGGTCCTGGGTGTTCTGGGGCCTCTGGCACTTCTCAGGAGGCTGCCATGAAGCCACCGGCCAGAGCTGTGTGCTCCTCAGAAGGCTCCGCTGGGAGGGGTCTGCATACCATCTCCCTCACTAGCCCTTGTCGGGCCTGGTCCAGGGCCACGTGGGTGTGTCCCCAGGGCTGCCACACGTGTCGTGGTGAGCAATTCAAGAAGGAGGAAGAAGGGACGGCCCATCACTTCGGCAGCGTTCTACTGGCTGGAAGCAGGTTACCGAATGCAGCCTACGCTCAGGGGAGGGATAGTAAACGTTTGAACACAGGCGGCGGGATGGTTGGGGCCATCTCAGAGGCCGCTGCCACAGTGAGGAAACCAGAATGTACTTTATATAGTGACAAGTCTGGAAAACAAGTACATAAAACAGGAGAGAGGAGGTGAGACGCTGGACGGGCTGTTGACCTTTAACGTAAGGTGACTAGGGAAGGCCTCACTGAGAAGGTGACCCTTGACTGAAGACGTGAAGGAAGCATGTGAGTCTGGGGGATGGGGTGGCAGACAAAGGCCCTGAAGCAGGAGCCTGAGGTTGTCAACCAGGGGAAGGTCGGGGAGGGGCCAGGCTTGGCAGCAGGCACGTGGAGGACACATCAGCATTGCCTGAAAACCCACCAGCCCGTCCTCCCTAGGGCCGCCCTGGGGTCACCCTGGCCCTCTTGCAAAGCTTTGAGCACAACTGTGCTGTGCCCACTGTGGGCCTTCCTCCATGGCTGCTCCTTCTGCCTGGGATCCCCTATCCTGGCGCGCACGGCCCCCTTCTTGCCCAGGTCACAGCTCACATGGCTCAAACTGCTACCTGAGAGTTTCATGTTTCCGGTGTTTATTATTCGTCCATCCCATTAGATCTCACGCGCTCCAGGCGACCAGAGACCTTGTCTGCTGGTGAAGGTGAGCCCGAGACCTAGGACACCAGGAGACACAAAAGAGGTGCCGGGCAAATACTGCGGAACGGACGAATTGCCAAACTTTATTCACTTTTGTATTCTGACCTGTTAGACAGTTTGGCGTTAGGAACCTTTGTGTATCTGAAGACAACCTGAGAAATATCTCGGGGAGGGCGAGAGCCGGTGTGGAAGGCAGGAGGAGGCCGCTGGGACAGCCGGGGGCGAAGCTCAAACGGAGGGAACCGCGGACTCGGCGGGGGGGCGGGCGCGCAGCTGCGGGGGTCGGTGGCGGAGGCGCGCAGAGGCCTCCACGGGGGCGTGCGGACAGCGCTTGCGACCGGCCAGCCC